AACAATAATTCACTCTATTTTACCACCTTCGGTTAAATTCGCGGCGGCAGTTTCATTTTGGGTATTTGAAAATGTGTATTCTATATTAATTTTGGCATTTCGTCGGGGAAAATCGCTCTTCTGTTTTCAACTAAATTTAATGAACTCGTCAATGTTAATAAGTTATTTATTTCAAGTCTTTTTATCAAAACTTTTAATCATATGTCTACTTTTAGGTGCAATAACTAAAGAAGATGAAAAAATTATTCCACATCGGTTTTACTATCGAGTCTTGGACACACTGTCAATATTATATAAATAAATATATTTTTATTAATAATAAAATTAATCCATAGCAGGAATGAGTAAATTTTTTTTTTTAAATGAAATCAAAGATAAAAAATAAAATAACATAAACAAAAAAATATTTTTTTAATAAAAATGGTGGAGAAAATCAGAATTCTTTTTTGCTTTTTTGTTTTAACCTACTTATTTCAGTTTTAAAATATATAAAAAGTTTTTTTTCTTTTGTATTTAATTTGGACAAAAGTCACAGGTCAATATTGAATTTTAATCGAATTTTAATATATTTATTAATTTTGATTTTATATAATTTATGGCAATTCATATCAATATTTTTGATAAATATAATTACAGTACATAATATTTTTGAATTCAATTTTGATTTTATATTTTATTTCATTAATTCACTCTTATATCATTTAATTATGCTTTATAGATAATAAGATATAAAAATTGTTTTTTAATAATACTTTTATAAACAAAATTTTATGTTATAACAAATTTACAAAATGTAAGAAAATATAGATCATAAAAATTATTTGAATTAAATATGTTATGTATATTCTATAAAATTGTATGCATCTCGCATTTCATAATATTTAATATATGTATAAAATTAATGCAAACTTACAAGTAATGTATTGAATTGTATTCTAGATTAAGAAGGTTAAAATTTTTAATTGGAGGTCCGGTTCTAAACCGACTCCTGTTTAGCTGTAAAATATATACAAAGTATTCAAATTTTTTGAAACTGCAATTTATGCAAAGGCATACAGAACTTTACCACTCACTATAGTAGTTTAATAAGTTATAATATTTTATTGCAAATATTTCTGCTATCCTATTTAATTTAAAATATAAGATATTTTATTTAAATATTTAATAATTTTAATTTAAACTCTCCGATTTTCCCTAATCGGAATTCCGAAAAAAATTACGGGAAGACTTTTCTATACAATATTCACTATTCATTTTTTCCTTTCATTTTAAAAGTTTCACTTCTAAAATTGAAAAAAAAATTAATAAAATACTTTAACATTATACATATATAATTTAACTTTTTTGAACCTACATAATTTATATGAAATTTTTAAATACAGGAAATTCTATACAGTCACCGTTTTATTCCACTGAAATTATATGCAACATTACGTTGTATTTTTCTTCTTTTTAAAAGTGAATTTTTCTCACCTGATTAAATTCTTTTCATATTCATTCAAAAGTAACATTATACCTACATACAATATACATTATAATAGACTTTTCTTTTCCAAATATACATATATACATACACAAGAATAAAATATATTGAAAAAATCATTCAATAAGATTATAATATTGAAGTGTGGAGCATAGAGAAACGTGTATATTAAAGTACAAGATGATAAATCGAAATCAATATTGTATTTATTTAAAATTTATCAAAAGCTATTGTATACATATAATTTAACAGAATACTGCGGAGTTTGGATAGGTATACTTTTACATATTTTACATTATTGTAATACTACTACTATACCATTGCTACATACTCACAATTTTGATGAAAATCTATTCAAAATATAGAAGATATCAGAAAATTGTATAACTTTTGTATGTAAAATTTCAAAAAACTGCACGTAAACTTAATGTTTTCCTAGGAGATTTACAAAAAAGAGGGTATAAAATAGAAAAATAAAAACAAAAACCGAATAGAGAAAAAATGAAAACGGAAACAAAAAAAAAATTCTCAAAGGATGAAAATGATGAAAAAAGAAAATATGCGTAATAAATGTCATGAATATCCTTGTGAATATTTCGAGCATAAAATTTTTGTTTTTATTAATTTTTTTGTTTCTTTTTTTTTTATATTTTGGTTTTTCATACTTTGCAATTCTTATGTCATGTTTATTCAATTTATTTTATTTTCACTTAGTCACATCCTGTTTCTCTTTTTACATATAATATTTTTTTTCCACAATTATTTCTTTTCTCTTTTTGGTTTTTTGCGTAATCTCTCGCGATTCTCTTTAAAATATAAAATTAAATCAGGTCGGGATGGTGTGTTGTCTGTTGTATTTTGCGTAGGTGTGCTTCTACTGTTGGCCATCAATTTTGTTCGTGAGAGAAGGGTCCCGTTATGTGATTAATAATTGTAAGCGCATAAGTAAAACACACACTATTCCTAAATTGTTTGAAAAAATTTTAGTTGGTTTTCAGAGAGGTGGGAAGTCTGCGGTCAACAATTTGGTGCAGTTTTTTTTATATACTATAAATGTTATGGAACGCAGTGGTCGGGTCGACGATAGATAGGATTTCTCATAACTATCTTAGGTCCGAAAAACTTTTCTTTACTTGAGTTTAATAATATTATTTGATATAGCTGCTGAGTTCATCTCGTATTCAAAATTTTAGAAAGTGAAAAATTAGCAAATGTTGAATAACAATGAAAGCCGAGAAAAATTTCGTATTATTCGTTATTTATTTCTCTTTGTTTCTATTGTCGTTATTATTATTATTTTAATATAAGGATTTTGATTATTATCCTTAAACAATTTAAATTCGCCCCCTATCCTCCCTTCATCATTTTTAAGAATATTTGTTTAGCAAAGCATAAGACAAAAATTTTTTTTATTCAAAAATTTTTAGAACAAAAAAAAAAAAAGAAACCAAAATCAACTTTCAGATTATTTACTTTTACAATTGTTATTTTTGTAAAATTCGCTTATACACCCGCATACATGCATACAATAGTACATATATATTACAATAATTATCTTTGATCGTGTGTATGTGGGTACATAATAATTATTATAGCATATTAATATTGTATACATTTGGAAAAACATAATTATAAATACAAAACAATGCGCGGCGGCGTATTATTACAGAAAATTTAATTTAGTGCAAAAACATTTTTTGGAAACAAAAAAAACATGTACATAAATTTTTTTTAAGTACAGTAATTGTGAATTAGTTGATATCTTTTTTATAATTATAATAATTACACACACATGTTTGTGATGCGATTTGAATGTAAAATACGAAAGTACAATGGAAAAAGAACAATATTAAGAGTTCTATACTTGTGTTTTATTGGAAAAATTCTTTCTTATTAGTATTTTCTAAGAACAAAGGATATTATATCATGTTCTTGTATAATATAATGAGATTGTATACTTGGAAAAAGGAAACGTGAAAAGAATTCCTTGTTTTGTTTTTTTTTTTGGGTTTTTAAAAATTTAATTTTTTTTTGGGTATATTATTTCTGTAAGAGCATGCAATAAATTTAGTAAATTTTGAAAAGTTATGCAGTAAATTATCGTAATTGTGGCGTTGAAATTGTTATAACCATACTTAAAAACAACACCAAAATTAAAGCAGAATGCAATTTTATAATGTTGCCCTTTGTTTAGTATTTTTCCCGTTTCAGAATTACGGATTGGATTCACTGTGACAACAGCAGCCTCAATATTGGAATATTTGCTACAGCGACATTCACAATATAGTACATATATCCTCAAATATGCAATTTATTAGCATTTTCTCTCCTCTCATTCAATAATATATGCCTTAACGAGTACATAAGTTGCTTAAATTGCAATCAATAAAAGTTGAATATTTTATGAGTAACGTATTGAGAATAATAATTTTTGTTTTCTCATATTTTCTTCGAACAAAGAGGCAGTATATATTATGTTATTTATTATTTTGCGATTTTTTTGAGTACACATATTGTTTTCTCCATAAATATAAATTATTAACCTATTTGATTATCTGTGAATAATTTGTGCGTACACTCTTTGAAATTATTTTTGGTAAATAAATACAAAATATTTAATATTTGCAAAAAAAAAAATTATTTTAATATTTATATTGTTGCTTTGTATGTATAGATAATACGTAATATTTAACATGATTCAGGTGTGGGTATGCAAAAATAATGGATTATATCAATTGTGAATAATTATATTTGATCTGATAAATTTATAATATTGATTATTGCAATAAATTATGATTTATTTTAAAATAATTGATTTTAAAATATTAATTTTTGTGTAGAATTGTGTTTTTTGGATTAAATTTTTAAATTACGTGTACATATTATGTGCAAAGTGTATTTCTATTTCAAATATTATGCTTTTCATTTACATAAAGTATAGGGCTTTTCAGATGAAATTCATTTAAATTATTGCTAACTATACGTAATTTGTTTATTGAATGAAAGCAATTTGTTCTATAGTATAAAATTTCTTAAATGAAATTTTACAAAATGGCTAAAGTTACGCAATATGTCGCTCATACAGTTTATCTTTTACGGTTATTTAACTCATACGGTTATTCTAAAGATTGAATTGAAATTTGGAAATATGTATTCGTAATTGAAGGAAAACATTTTTTTCTAGAAAATTATTTGATATTGATGGGTTTGACAAGATTTAGGTTATGATAAAAAAATACAATTATTTTATTACTGAGAAAAGAACTTCGGTAAATGACAACTTTTCTTACATTAATTTGAGACCCAACAAAATAATCACTAATTTAAATATTGAAGGCTAAATTTTTTTTTTTATGGTAATCTGACACTCTTCTGGCTATGCTTCTATTTCAATTATTTTTACATTTATAATTACATATACATATGTATATATAAAATTTAAATTTTACAATAAATGAAAAATTAAAAAAATATTCACAATTAACATTATTTTTTTCTCATATTATTTTTATAATAGGTCAACCATTACCAAAAGTTAATTGGTGGCATGAAAACACTTTATTGGATGACACTTCAACAATACTGTCAGATCGGCGTGTTAAAAATGTTTTAGTATTTGAAAAATTAAAGAGAGAACATCTTAATATGCAACTGACATGTCTGGCATCAAATAATAATTTAACAACTCCAATTAGTAGTACAGTGACACTGGATATGAATTGTAAGTACCACAATTTTTTTTTCATATTAAATGAATAAGGGCAGGTATCTAAAAATAAAAAACGTCAAAAAATGAAAAATGAAAAGTGTAACACAAAAAATAAAACCATTAATTGTTGAATAAGTGCTTGATTATAAATTAATATTGAAAAAATGCTGATTCTACGTCACAATTACTAAAATGAAATTTTCATCAGAACAGCTTATTATGACAATTAACATTGTTATTCGATTTTGTGTTTAATAATAAATTATTAACACTATGAATGTACATATGTACATTAAAATGTGATTTCCTAATTAAGACAGGCACAGAGACTTCTGATTGAAGAACATTTAAAATTTATGTTATTCAAAAAAATTGTAAATAAATTGATTTCAATATATACAAAATATTGTCGTTCCTTCCGCAAATATTACATGGAAGGAAACATATTCTCCATAAAAAGAATTCTATTTAATTTTCATTTTATTTACAGTACGACCAGTGTCAGTTAAATTACAAGGTGAAAATCGTCCTTTATCAGCTGATAATTCATATCAATTGAGTTGTGAAGTTGAAGGTGCTAGACCAGCACCAACAATAACTTGGTGGAAAGGTAGTACACCAATGAAAAATACACATGAAATTGTAAGTATATGGAAATGAAAAAAAAAGTTATTAATAAAACTTGATTTATTTTAAAAAGTTTTCAATACTTAAAATTACTAGTACTTTTCTCTTTTTATCGGTGTTATTACATTATCGCACATCTTGCAACTTAATGTAATTTAGAACATGAAAACTCGAGTTTCATTAAAATATTGTTTTAATTCCTCATTTCTTTACACCTTCAATTAATTACTTAACATCTTCAGAAGTGTATAAAGTTTGAGTTCCCATATAACAATAACGTTTTCGTCTTCGTCACTTCATAACGTCTGATTTGCGAGCAAGAATGCGGGAGTGTCCTTCATTAGGAGAACTTCCTAAATTAGCAATTCGTGTGTAGGGTGAAGAAATTGAGAGGAAAACGCAAATCGAATACCTTAGAGCTTAGAGTGATGTTTGATAGTAGGCTTTTATGGCAGAAGTATGAAGAGCTTGATGTGGCTAATGCCACTAGGTGCGCAGACCATTTAAGGAACTATGGGGGCATGGTGGTGTTATTCTCAACTTATGGTTTTATGATGACAGAGTGTTCAGCGTTGCCCAAATGACCAAGGCGAACTCAGAAAAAAATTGAGAGAAAGAGAGTGTTTCCGAACAGGGCATTTACTTGTATATAATAAGGCGAAGGGTATCAACTTCTGGTAGAAGTACATTCATCCCAAGAGGAGGGAATCTCCGGATGACCTCACCTTTTATGCAGCAGAGGACCTGCGGAAGATGGAGATCTATACTAGGCATTTCACAAGTTGATTAAGATACATATCTCTAGTAAGGATTTTAATCGTGGGTTACAATAGATCCCACTAGGGACGAGATGCTCCGTCACCCAAATTCAATAAATTTACAATCATTAACATTTTTCATCAGAATATAGGGATGGTATCAGAATAATTATGGATGATTAGTATAGGGATGGATTAGATGAAAAGGAGTACGCTTCAATATAATGCACATGTTATCAATTTACTTAGCAGTATTTCTGTTTTGACGGACTCTCCATATCGAACAATTTCTTTTTATTATCATGAAAGCTTTTAAGATTTTGAAGATTTTTTAAAGCTTTTGTTTTAACTTTATTATTTAAATCAGTTAGTTTAAGAACAATATTTCAATTTAATTAGAAATTTAGAATTTAATTTCACATACCAATACTCCAATATTATATGTTCTTTCAAACTTTACACCTTCCTTTCATTCTTATAATAGCATTGAATTGAAATTCGATTAAAAAAAGCAATATTTGAATTGATGCCAATTTAGTTTTAATATTGATTAAATTAAAGAAATAAAAATAAATTGAAATATTTTAAATACCATGCACACACACTTTTTAAGTAATACAGATTCAAACTCACACACATACCGTGTACTCATACATATTCCATTTTGATTTATGAATTTATTAATAATATCAGCATATTTTATATAAATTTAAAATAAAAAATAAAAAAAAATTCTGATAATATTTTTTGATTAAAAAAAAAAATTCATTATATTTTTCTCTCTCTTTTTTTATTTTACTCATTTTATTTCTCAATAAATAAAAATATGAAAAAAACAACAAAAAATCAAAAATAATTGGATTAATCTCGATGAATAATAATGAATATTACTATATCATTTGCTTACAACTGCAACCGAACCAACTATATATAAAACAAAACTATATATTTTATTCATACATCGATTATGCGTATCTATACACTATACTGTTGGGTTGGTAACACTTTCCAATAAATTGTATATATATTTAAATTATTATGTACAGTCCAATCCAGAAGGAAATCGTACAACTTCAATTTTAACATTTACACCAACAATTGATGATAGAGGAAAATTTTTGTCATGTAGAGCTGAACAAACTTTTATACAAGAATCTGGTATTGAAGATGGATGGAAATTGGATATTTATCGTAAGTAATAATTTATATTAAATATGTCAATATTATTGTAAAAATATATGCACATAAATATATACAATTGTATATGTTGGAATAAATTATCGTATACTATAACTATGTATGAATATTTATTTAATTTTATTCATATCGACATTGAACAATATTCATTTTTATAAAAATAATAAAAATTATAGGAAAATATATGATAAAAATAATAAAGAATAATTCGCATTTTTCAGAAAAATTGAATAAACTTTAAAAATTTTATAATTAATAAATTAAATTACCACATGTATTTATGTAAATGTGATCGAATTGTGATGAAATAAGTTAAAGATGCTTAAATTGGATACAATTTTTAATTTAAACTTTCAATTTCACATATATCGTTAATGAGGTTACAGTAAAATTTTTCATTTAACAAAATATTATGTTAGTTAAGTTTCACATATAACAGTTTTACATAGGACCAGAATATCCTAAGGTTAGTTGCTCCGGATATCTCGCTGCTTTTCGATTGGTTGGAATTTAATAACATTAGGTGGAATTTGCCAAACCCTGCTTTTTCTTTCTCTAGTTAGTTAATTACGTCTGCCTGGACCCCTTCATCAGGTGTTATGATACTGCCCAAGTAGCCGAATCTGCGATGCTTATTATCATCGCTCTAGTTTTGTCTATGTTTATTTCTAGAATCACATGCCTGACAAGTTGTTCAAGGTGTTTTAGTTTCTTCTGTATGTTGCTTATCTTCTAGGAGAGAAGGCAGGTGTCGTCTGCGTAGTCTAGATATTCTAGGTGTTGAGTGAGATTCCTCCTTTTTGTAAGCAGATGACTTTTGAGAGATTATAAAGAGCGGCGGTGAAAGTCGGAAACTCTGCTTAACCATGATTGGATTATATTTACTGCTCACTTATATTTCCTCTACCGCAAGCTCAGCTTCTTAGTACAGCGGTCAAGTAGCGGATAATTTTGCTTGGGGCTCCCCAGTTTGCTCGACTTCTTCGTACAGCACTCGAATCATGTGGATTAATTTAATTGGGATTCCCCTGTTTTTTAGTGTTTTCCATATTACATGAATTTTTCTCTCAGGCGCTATAGTTAGTGTTTACGCTTAAAGGAGGTCTACTGTTCTGCCATCCCTCCCTTCGTTCCTGTTATAATTGAGTTTTCTTATGACAATAATTTTCGGTACAGGCGTTTGTTTTCATACGGTGACATAAGAGAGCTAACGCTTATACTAAATATATGCATATTAAAGATGGAAACCAAAGTCGAGAAACTGAAAATCTCTTTAATCAATTTTTAAAATTTTTCTGATTAAATTTTTTTCGTACTTAATTTCCTTGGTAGAATCAATATTTGAGTATTCAATCGTGTATAACGATGCAACCGTATGTTTAAATATTTTTTTCAGTTCTCTTCTTTCCCAATTAATTTTTTACTGAAAATTAAAGAAAATGCATTTTTCATTTTTCTCATATTTTTTAATATATTTTTTTTCTCGTGAAAATTATATTGTTTAATGTTTCATAATTTTATTTTCATTTTCACGTAGAAATATGAGAACAGGTATTTACTATAGAAAGAGGAGGGGAGAGGGAGTAGGAATCGGAATTATAGAAAGATGATGTGAAAATGCAGCTGAAAGGCTTACCAGGTGGTTAGTGATTTACTATTAAATTGCATTTTTTTCTTTTGTTTGTTTTAATTTATTATAATTTAGTTAGTTTGGTTCAATGTGTATATGGCGCGGTGTTATTTTTCATGATTTTAAGGATTAAAAAGTTTTACTCATATTTTTTTCCATTTTTTTTCATATATATAATTATTTGATTGTAATTAAATCATAGGAACTTATTCTTTTAGAAAATTAAGATTAAATTGGTAATGAAATGGAAGCAAAAAAATGGTAGTGAGGTGCGGTAATGCCATATGAATGGTGTAGAAAAACAAAAACTGGTTATTTTTAGTTTCTATTAAAGAATGCAGAAATTTGTAAATGCTTTAAGGCAAAGAAAAAAAACCAAAAATTGTATATAAGAAATAGCAAAAAAAAATTTTTTTAAAAGAAATTTTATATTATTTTAGAGTTTTAATAGCGTTACGCTCAATTGTGATGACGGTATGTAGCTGTGGTGCGGTAAATTTCTGTGGTTAAGATTTTTAATTTATTATTGTGTGTATGTATTTAATGAAGCTTTAGGGCTTGTACTTTAATTAGATTTTTTTTCTTTCTCTTTCTCTTTTCTAACAGTAGATGGTACCATAAAAAATGAAAGAAAAGAAAAGATTAATGACGTCAAAAATTGTGAATTACATTTTTTCTCTTTCGTTTATTTTTAAAATGGAAAAGTTTCAATATAAATTCGTTTTAATTTAAAATTCATTTCAAAGTTTCTAGAGCAATGAAACTTAAATTATTTAATTCTTTTTTTTTTTTTTGTTTCAAAACGAAAGAAATGAAGAAAATTTAAATGATTTTCAAATAATAAAATTATAATTATTAATTAGATTTTAATTAAATATAAGAATGATGAATTTTATAATAAGACATAAAGAATGATTATTTATGAAAGTGACGGACCATGATTAATATACGAATAGACATATAATGTAGTCTTAAGTAAAAGTCAACAAGGGGTTTGAAAGAAAATCTGTCGAAAATTTTACAGCTTAAGTTACGAGTAAGGCTGTCTACCAAACTCACTAAAAGTTTCCCAGGAAAATTTTAATTACAACTAATTATTCGATTTTATTCCAGCTAAATATTTACCGGGCGCATTGCATATACAGTAAGGGAGATCGTAAGATGGCTGATACTGAAAATTTCGCTGCTGAAAATAAGTGGTAACGAATTTTTACATGATACGGAAGATAAGAGACAAAATCAACAAGTTAAATTCTTAACCTTTTTAATAATCACTGTAATATTTTATGCCCTAATAATTAAGCAAATCAACGTTATTAATCAATTTTTTTTCCATATTTTTGTCTAAAATAATGAGCCTTATAATTTAGGTACACTCATATATGATAAAAATTTTAATAAATCGTTTTTTATACCCTTTAAAACTTTACTTGAACTTAAACCATTAAAAATTAATGTACCTACCAACACAGTATAAGTTTTGTATGTACTTGTGACCCTTTCTTAAAACTTTAATCATAATCCCTTACACTTTGCAAATACTGCTTTTGTTTGATCATTTGAAATAAAAACAACAATACATTAAAATTTATTTTCTTATAATAAAGTTGGGTTATTTAACGGTACTTTAATATTTACAATGAAAAAATACACAAAAAAAAAAACAATAAAAGACACTGCAATAATAATAAAATTTACACAGCGTGGCTAAATTAACACTGATAATTTTTTTTTTTTGCTTACAAAGTGTAACAGCGTTTGAAATTATTATTTAATATTTATAATGAATTTGAGTGTTTCAGTACTAACATTTGAAATTCTAAGTTATAGTGCACAAATTATGCAAATTAGGGTCTGATCGTCTATCGTGCTATTTCACTCGGCAAGTGAAAAGAAAGTGAGTAGTTATCATACATTTGTGCAATATAATTTTCGAGTGAGAAAAATTATTCCTCGTTTTTTTCTAAAATGTATACAAAAGTTATTCGCTTTGTGTTTGAAAGTGAGACGTTCAGTCGATAATTTAAGAAAAAATGGAAAAATTGAAAAAATTAGTAATCTTATTTTAAAAATGAAATATCGCTTAGAAAAACGGAGAATTCTGAATTGACGGTGAATAAAAGTGAGTAAAAAAAGTGAGATACATAATTATGTAAACTAGTATATCTATATTTCTGTTAGTTTGAATATTGTTTTTATACACTTTATGTAAAGCACATATGACGGAGGTAAACATTCTACTCGAACAATTTTGAGACGACTGGGATTTTTATTATAAAAAACAATAATGCATGTCGTCAAACTTCGTATTTGTGTATAGCGCGCTAAACAACAGAACCATGTTCCCTAATAGGTCAATGAACCTTATACACCATGGCAAACTTAACGGAATATTCGGAATTTTCATTTGTTTAATCTCTAGTACACCTTATATACTTACACATAGAAGTATGTACCATAATTCAAAAGCGTCGTACTAGCGATGAACTTTCCTTTTATCCTTTTTTTTATGCATTTTTAATCTGACTTTTACACACATTTGCATTATAAATTTTTTTTTCCAGTTAGCGGGTTTTTTTTTTCTCTAGAAATGATTCTTTTTACAAAAAATATTAATAATAAAAAAAATTTCGTTTTTTTTTTTGCTAAAAATGACTTTTATAAGTAAAATGACCTTTTTCAATTTACTTGTATTCTGTTTTCTACCCATTGTTAGCTTTATTACGAATTAAAAATTCCTTATAGTGTAATTTTCATATCTCAAAACTCAAACATTACATTTTTAAATTCAAGAGGTCAAAGACATTTATATATTATTTAACTTTTCCACATAGAACAAGTATAAAATTAATATTTACGTAATAAAATAAAAAAAAAATGGAGGATAATTAGCATCTTAATTGTTTCAATTTTTTCTTTACTTAAAATGTTAAAACAAAAGTGTGATAATGAGTCATTGTTAATTCTTCATATCATGGCTAATTAGAGTCTTAAAGTCTTTAAACTGCGCTTTGTTTCAATATCTTAATCAACTTTTTATCACTATGTAAAAATGTTTTTTTCGTATGAAATATCAAATTTACTGCCGTAGGTACCGTGCTGTTACTTATTTTAGTAAAAGGTATTCAAACAGTATTTAATGGAGCAACTAAAACCTCAGAGTTACTTACGCGCAATGTATTTCGAATTCTTATAATTTTTGAGTTCCATACGCGACACAAACGCATTTTCTTAAAATTTTTTACATATATTTACAGTTCTAGAAAGACAGGAACTCATTTTTAGGCGATTTTTTTTAAATATTTTGCGTTTTAGACAAGCATTCATTCAGTTATGTAAAGTAAACTTTTCCTCTATGGAAACCGTATTCTACTTTTTTAAAAATATCTTTTTTTTCGTTCACTTTCTTAGGGAGCACAGTTTCCTCAAAGCTTCTTCATTGAAGTCCAATTTTTCTGCGCATGTTTTTCCAGATGGTGAAAATTCTTTTTCAAATCATCTCCTTCATGTTGCCATGTTGCCCATGTATACCCAATATATTTCCGTTTCCTTCTTTTGATGGTGAATTCTACTGTTTGCTAAGGCTCATTATCTCCCAGAACTCTGTGTTTGTTATTCGTTTTTATACCAACTTCTTTAGCATTACTTGTAGTTTTTCGAACGCCATTGAAATATAAAAGTATTAAGGATTAAAAATAATTCCATTGATGATATTTTCGAAAAATTTAAATTGTTTTTTAAATTTAATTTCGTTTAAGACCATTACTAGAAGAATTAAATTTTTTTTTATTGTTTTTTAGTTGCTAAGTTTAATTGGCTTATTTTCAAATCTTTGAAATGTTTTTAATAGAAATAATTTAGTATATTTACCTGAATTTGTTGATAATACCAAAATATCCTCCATCGAAAAAATGTATTATTTCAATAACAGTGATATTAATAGTTTAATTGTGGATTTAAATTTACTGAACGCAAAATAAAAAAAAAAAAAAACAAAGTGGATTTTTATTGGTTTGCTGCCATCTGTAGGAAAGAAAACAAACTGGTGTCAAAAATTTTTATACAACTTGTTCAGCAATTAGAATTGTGAATCATTTAGGGAAATAGTCTATGACAGATAGTCGTTACTTGCCCAACAATTTTTTTCATCTGTACGAACCTTCTGAAGACAATTGAATGTTGGGTGCTTGCGCCCTTGGGTGAGTTGAAAAAGATTATAGGTGAGGAAATATATTGGTTTGGGATGGCGTGTGAACTTGTGCAACAACAAAGACTCTATAGCGAAAGAGGAACGAGCAAAACGTGTGGTTTGCTGGCATTAAGCAGGGGTATCTCAGTATTGCTCTCAGTTTTCTCAGTATTTTGATGCACACTGTTCATTAAAAAAATGCCAAAGAGACTGGATATTTCCTCAACGGATGTCTGATAGGAATACCGAGATATCGGAGTGGTGGAGGATATGCTACACATACACTGTCTCTACGAGTATTCTGCTCTCTTGCGGACCAGAACAAGATCTTTGGAGAGATATCGGTTTGATGGATTGGTGAAGGTGTCGGCGGTGTTCATGGGTTATATACTAAATTTTGTCAAGGAATTTGGCTGAATTTGCCGATGGGGTTACTATTGACGGTACGACACCCTCTCTAAATAACTAATTAACTTTGGATGAATTTTCTATTTTCCTAGTGCCTTTCCACCAGTCCAATAAAACGTGTTTTTAATATTGTTGACTAAATAAATCATATTGCCTTCTATCAAGTTCATATAATAGCTTCATGTTTAACTTACAACACAATTTCTAATAATATTTGTTTTATTTTATAATTTCAACAACCTCAATCGGGTATGTGAAATAAACTTTATTATAACCTAGTATCTATAGACATAGAAAGCACAAAAAAAGGACACTATTCAAATGACGTTTCTATTATAAGCTTTAGTACTGTTTCTATTTTTGTTTCTATTCTAATTTCAATGACAATTTCATACTAAAAAAAAATAAAAATTTGATTCTGCTTTAAACAGCGCACAATATTAGAGTAAAAAAATCAGGTTATCATTTCTATGTACTCAGGCACTATAGGACCTTTTTTTTACTGCTCCAATTAAATACTTTGTTCAGTTACAATTAAAGAGCTGAGCTGAGTTAAAAAACTTTTCAGATGTACAAAAATGTCCTTTTTCATTTAAAAAAAAAGGATAAAAAATTCACTTTGTTTACGTATGTGGATATTTTCATTTCCTTTTTTTTTTCTCTTATCTTTGTTTAAATTTTATTAAATATACCATGAGATTTTTTAAATATTTTTTCATTCAACATGACTGGCAACAAATAAATGAAAAATTCAGGCTCTTTTTTTCTTCTTTCTACGTATAACCATAGCAATGTACGAAACATTGTGCGCTTTTTCTTTTTTGTTTGTTGTTAGTAACATTGAAATTAGAAATAAAGAGGATTATAACAAGTAAGGTATTATATAACGCCAAAATAACAATAAAAATAACAATGAAAAATTTGAAAACCTCAAAAATGATCGCGTCATTTTTAAACGTTTCTTTTTTCAGCTTATATATATATGTAGAGTCATAATAATGGAAAATTAAATGGCTTTAAATTCATTTAGTTGTAAAAATTAATAACAAATAATAATGACAAGGACATGAATAAATTAATTTAAAAAAATTATACCGTATTTAAATTGACAATTGTTAGAAAAGCGCTTATTGTATTTGTTTATCAAAGTGATTAATTCCAAACAGATCATAAGCTTTAAATGAATATGTGAAATTCGGAATTTGTGGAGAAATTTTTACTTATGCATGATTCCAGGTGTAAAATCACAAGTTCAAAATATTAAATTGATTACTCAGCGGAAACATTGTAAATTATTTTTGTTAAATATTAACAATTTTAAAGTGTTGTTCGGGCGCCAGTGCCTTTACAAGAATATTGCAAACTAAACTGTTTCCATACAGTGATAAAGCTGTGTGTCTGCAATTTTCTGTTGAAAACTTATTTCCACTTTATTCACATTGCATATTGACCCATAATTTTATTTTTTTTATATTCTGGAAAACTAAGTCACCATATTATCGTATATTGTTCTGTATACATTGCAATGACCTACTAAATATTATTCATAGCATTAATATGTTGCAAAATATCATTTAGTGTAAGCGTCAGTTATATACAAAAAATATATTCATTATAATTTACATTATGTAGAATCAGTCATTAAAAAATTTAATTTTTTTGTATTTTTTTTTATAACTTTACAGACATTCCAGTAGTTTCATTAGAACTTGGCACAAATAATAATGGGACATTTCGCGAAGGAATTGATGTATTTTTTGAATGTAATATTAAATCAAACCCATGGGTGTATAAAGTTAGTTGGAGGCATAATGTAAGTTTTATTATATTATTATTTTTATGAGTATATGTATGTGTATATTTAAACAATATTAATAATTAATATTTTATAAAAGGATTTATTCATAAAATTTTAATAATAATAACAAAAATTTAATATTAAAATTTTAATAGTTTAAATATTGGAATTGATGAATATTTTTTTAAATTCTTTAGGGTGCACCACTTGAAAATAATATTGCCGAAGGAATTGTTGTAGCAAATCAAAGTCTTGTACTTCAAAATGTTAGTAGAGCACGTAGTGGTATTTATACATGTGTCGGTAGTAATAGAGAAGGAGATGGTGAAAGCAATGCAGTTCAACTTGATATTCGATGTAATTTCTTTTTTCAAATACTTACTATAATCTATTTCTTTTTTCATATATATGTAGGTACACTTAATAAACAATAATTATGTAAAACACAATGTACATATTATGTATGTATAGCAAATTTATCAAATCCATTTAAATTTAAGACATATGAAGTATTAGCTATAGGCGTTTAATGCATTTTGTGAATTTTTTCATATTTTTCTTCTTCAAGTTAAAATTTTCATTTACTAACAAAAATATAAAAAATATTGACTTTTGCATAAAATTTCAAATTTTCATAGCATTTTTTTTAATATTTAAGATTAACATATTTATAAATTATAAAAAAATATACCAAGATTAACTTTAAAGAGCATATTAAATTAAGTTTGTTAAATGTGCAATTGAACAGTCAGTCAAGAGCAATTGAAGACTAATTTAGTTCACCAGATTGATATTATAGTGATGTGTTTGTAAACAACTGTGAAGCGCTTATGTGGTGGCTGACGATGGAGAAGGCACACTGCGCGCAAAGGTATCACTAGGGCGTTAAGTTCGACAATTGCGGATGCCTTGAATACGCTTCTCCATTTCTTTCGGATAAAATTTCATATTACAAAGCGGCCGGCCAGCAGCGCTGCTAGGCTCGCGTAGACTTGGTACAGGAATCCGGGACCTTACGGTCATGATAGTTATGGACTACTATATACCTAGATTGAACTTCGACAAGAACCAATGAAGCAGTCACCTTTGGTTTCAAGAATGGAAAGGGGGTCGTTTCTAGGGTTTTCTCCTTGTGTCGGCTTCTTAACGAGTTGAATGTCTTTTAGGCGGAAGTTTTCGCCATACTGATCGCAATAATGACGGAAAGCCCGATAGACCAATGCTTGAAAATACGCAGCCACTTACTGGCTAAAGTTAAAGTGTTGAATGTTATAACGGACTGCACTGTACACTCGTTTAATACTTCAATGTTAAAAAAATTCTACTAAAACAAAACCTCCCGTGATTTGTGAATAAAATATAATTTTATAATGTTTATATTTATATAATTTAATGAAAAAAGAAAAAAATTAATTAAAATACTTATTTAATATGATTTAATTATGTTGAATAACAGTTTTTATTGGCAAACATTATATAAAAATGTTCAAAATCAGGTCACTGGCATAAAAACATTGTGAATATTATTATTATATAATGTTCATTACTATTTAATTTTGGTAAATGAATTAATTTATAAAATTATAAATTTAATATCATACATAATACATATATTATTATTAAAATATATGTTTGGATATTTTGTTATACATATTTTATTATAATTATTATTATTTAAAATCATTCAAGCCTTTATTTTTTGGCAAACTACATATATGAAAGAATAATGAGAATAAAATATTAATGCTTTGCTTTTTCAATTTAAAAACGAACCATTTGAATAAAATGATATTTAAGTATGTACATATTTTGAAGTGAATCCATTTACGTATTTGAATTACAAGACGTGTAAAAAAATTATGTTTTCGTATTATGTGACATGTTTAAAAACTAACCCCTTGATACTTGAGTCTTCAATGTAATTCATTTATTGAATAAGCAAGTTTTTGATTCATTAAAATCGTGCTATCTATTACTTAGAAATTAAAATGTTAAGGAATAATATTAGTATGCAATATAAATAATGTACATTTGATGAACTTACACTTATAAAGACGTGGTAAGCTACCAAAATTTAAATTAATATGCGACTTTAAAATAGAGAAAATTTGTATGAAATCCATAACGTACATATTAAAAAATTTCCACAAAATGAAATAAGTTTAAACTTTATTTTATATTAAACGTACACATACATCCACATATGTATGCATTTATATTTATATTTAAAATATCCTGTTTCCGTAATTGACTTAGTTAAGCTTCTATGTATATACTTACATCCTTGTTTTAAAGGATTTAAATATTTAAATATATAAAAATACAAAAAAATAAAAATTTTCTCTCATCTTCTAACAAAGTAGATAAACACGTTCCTAACAAAGTTGTCACTTTTCAGTGGTTTATAATGTAACAAAGATAAAAATTTTCACAAAAATCACAATTTTAAAAATTTTTCGAGTAATTATTTCAATTTATGATTAAATTAAGCTATAAAGACCACTCTTAAACCCTCAGAAGTATGGTATCTAACTAGTGGAATAGCCCCCCTACTGCACGTTCGTCGATTTCGAGCAAGCACTTGGCAAGGTTGAACAGGAGGCATATGGAGTGCATTACACTATAAGAGTGTTCCCAGAAATATTCTAAAGATCATTTAGGCCATGTAGGGGAAACGAGTTCCGGTGTCTTTCACGACGCTCAGGTGTCAGGCGGGGGTTCAGGGGCAGGTGTTAAGATAATAAAGAGTTAAAACGAAGACGAGGTTTATCAAATGGGGATTATGAGTGTCTTATCTTAGCTCATACATAATGCGGATATACAAATCATAATAAACATACTTGAAAGGGAACTTGCGGAAGTCGGTCTCAATTGTCGAATGCAAGATTGACCTTTGGTCGGTTATGGCCCTATCGGTATTCGTCTCACATTGCAAAGAGCACCAAGAATGGAATACTCAATGGCTGTGTAAATTAACAGGGTAATAACAAATAATGAACTATGGGTGGTGGCTGACTATAAGTCACTAATTTTCACACTTGCATTTAGGAATCGCTTACAGTTAGTGATAGCAATCTTTGTGTTGCAATCAAATTGCTTTTAATCAGCAAAAATTTCCTTTATGCATTATTATTCACATCTACTTACATAATATCTAGTTGACAACTTCACTTTTTAAGAATTTCAAAGTAAGCCCTATTGACAACACTGTCTTTTTATTAAATACATAATTTGTTGGTATATGTCAAATTTTACTAAAAATCTTAACAAATTTGAGATTATATAATACATGTACATATATATGTACTTTTTCAGTCCAATAAAAAATAAAAATAGACTGAAAAATTTTTAATATTTTAAAAGATCGTAAAATTTTAATCCGATTAAAACTTTATTTATTCATTTTGCTTTCCTTTCATATAAAAGATGATAAAACAAATCGGAAAATTAAACATTAAAAATTAAAATTCAAAAAATTTCTTTCAAAATCTTAAGTGACACTTTTTTATACTGTGTAGTTTTCTTTATATACATATGCACATATAATGATATTGGATTTTCTTTAAATAAGGAAAATACTAAGCAATTTGATGTGACAGCAATAAATTTGGTTTGATTTTGTTTAAGAAATTGAGCTAGCAACATTTTGGACCTCGCAAACAAAACCTCCACCTTTCGTAATTTGAAATGTCTTTGGATTCACCAAACTATTCGCTTCGCTGATCTTAATAAGATTAAATATGTATATATAAGACCGAATAAAACTCATTTCATTCCCTATAGACTAGCGAAACTGTAAAATCTAAACCTATTGGGCAGATTTTGTAGACGAAGTAAAAATAATTAGAAAAACCCGTCATTCTAACCAAAGAGAATTGTTTGTAATGATATTTTTCTGTTGTAATTTCCACGGTAGCTCTAAAATCATATTAAACAAGATTCTATATAAACAGAAATTTACTAGTCATTCATATAAGAAACGGCAGAATTGTTTTAAATTATCGTAAATTAATTACAAAAATATTAATTTTGCAAAGAGAAAAATACTTTAGTATTATTTAAAAAAATTTTTGGTAGTTTTCACTCACACTTTAAAAGTAAAATTGATTGATTTTATGTGTGTTTTTGTTCTTTTTTTCCCTCTCATTGCCAACCTATAATTTAAATTATTAATACACAAAAAACAAACAAACCACAAAACAAAACAAAAAAAAACAGTTGCACCAGTATGTCGCCCAGGTCAACGTACAGCTTACAGTTCTGGTCGCCAGGAAACAGTTAAAGTTATTTGTGAAGTTGAAGCAAATCCATCAGAAGTTTCATTTGTTTGGAAATTTAATAGTTCAACCACTGAATACGTTGATATTGCAGCATCATTAGTTGCAATAGATCGTAGTCGTAGTATTGCACATTATACACCAATGACAGAACATGTATGTATTTAATAATTATAATATTGAAATGAAATATACATTTTGTATTCAAAAAAATATTATTATAAAAGGATATAAAAGGATATTATAATTTCCATGTTTGATTATTTTATTTTATTTCAATTTATATTAATGATTTTAATTTTGGTATTGAATTTAAATTTTTTGGTTTTGGTGTTTTTTGTTTTTTCTTTATTCAAAAATTACTTTGTGTATTAAATAAATAATTTTTCTCGTGGAATTTTATTTTTGATTTTTTTTATTTAAGTTTAATTATTTAATAATTCTGTGGGTTTTTTTTTGTTTCTTGTTTTAAATAATTCAGCGTATTCACATTTATTTTTTCGCTAATAATATTCTAAAAAATTTAAGTTATTATTAAAAATCATTTTGTGGTATAATTTATTTTGGTTTTGAAAATATTTTCGAATGTAGGCACATTTAGAGTATTGTGAGTTTTCGTTAATAGATTTGTTTTTTTGGATTTCCTCTTTTCTCGTCCATTAAACCTAAAAAAAATATGTATTAATAAAAAGAACGAGTTATAAATATTTAAATATTATTTCAAAATTCCTACATTACAGACAAAAATTCCATTCATCTATAATTTAGGATAAAATAGAATGATGGTTTTGCATTTAATTGATGCAAAATCTCTGTTGCGATCATCAGTTTTTTACCAATAATCTAAAAAATATTTAAATTTAAAATATTTGCTTATTAATTTTTCACGTATATAGCTTCTACTTTATTTAATTATTTTTATTTTTTTAAAAAAGAACCATTTCATTATATGGATTTGCCATAGCTCTTAGACATATTAATTGCATATACTTCCGTTTGGAAGAAAGTTGAGTCCGTTACTCCTAATGCTTCCTTCACAAAAGCTTACTATGAAAAATAACTCCCAAGTATTATATATACTTGACTTTCCATCTCCGTGTACACAAATCGCATCGGAGATAACCTATCGAGTCCCGGCGCCTTAAAAAGTTGGAAGGTGCAAATCGTCCACTCCACCCTACGATGTAAAATACTAATTATAATTTTTTCATAGCTTTCATTCGTCTTCGAGTGTATTAATAAAAATTAATTTTGTTTTTTAATTTTTTTTTTTGTTTTTATTTTATTTTCAGTTATCATGGTATTTTCTGAAGTAACTATCTTTGTATGTGTGCATATAATCAGTTTTTATTTTTTTTAATTTCTAATACGGTGGTGTTTTATAAAATTATTCTTAAAAAAAAATTTAATTAATTTTTATTTTTCTTATTTCTTTCACTATCAAAAATACAATCTAAAGGACTATGGCACTTTATTATGTTGGGCAAGCAATGAAATTGGTGATCAAACTGAACCATGTGTATATACAATCAATCCAGCTGGTAAGAATTCGTTTTTTTTTTCAACTTTTATATTCTGTTTTTTTCTTCATATTTATTTTTATTTTAGAAAATTCAAACTGTTTTTGAAATTATTCAAGTCAATACCATGTTTCATTTAATATTTAATATAAAGTATAGCCGAACTTTTAACTGAACTATCTTGACATTCTAGTATGCAATTTGATGCAACCATTGTGGATCTATTAGTAATCATACGGTTGATTCAACTACTAATTATATAGTTGAACCCAGTAGTATTTATCTACTTTTTTTTAGGGACCGGGTCCTTAAGTTCATCTCATGTCGACCCATATGATCTTTTATAATTCGCATCTCCACATACACTATATTTAGGCTCCCGACAATTTGCAATATAGCACTCACCACAAGCCACGAGACTTCCATCGGGGTTACAAGGCCTTTGCGAGCAGTTGTAGGGGTTAATTCAGACAAGTGCTCCACCATTTCTTGCTTTTTCGGGCAGAGATGGTAGACCTCGTCTTCCATCATGCTTTTAAAATGTTTTCATACAAAAAAAATAAACAAATTGAATAAAATTTACTATTAAAGCTTCCTTTTAATTATACATAAAAGTAGAGTTGAAATTTTCCATTGACTTAATAAATTTTTTATAAAAAAAAAAAAAACCATTTTTGCAATAGCTTGTTGCTTATTACTGAAATTTCTTATTTGAAAATGAAAAGAAAATCATTGGAAATGGAAAAGTTGAATTTTTAATTGCAAAAACTTAAGAAAAAAACATTTTAAAGAATTTGAACTAAAAATCAGAATTTTTCACATTTAATTTGAAATAAATTGCTAATATCGTTTCCGTTTCTCCCTACAGAATAATATGAAATGTTGTTATTTAGCTTTTAAATAGCGTCATTTATCTTACATAATAATACGTATTCATTTCTCTTCCTATAATTTATCACTTTTTATAATATGAACATGGTTCTTTGTAAATTTATTTCGTCAGGTATAATGAAATATTAGTTCGTTTGTAACATAACAAATTAAAGGTACGAAGGTCTCATCATCTGGTTCTAAAACATGTAGTTCATATTCATGAATTTTCAATTATATGAAAATATTTAATAATGTATATATAGTATGAGAAAGTAAAAATAATTTAAAATTATTGTTATCTTGAAAACAATGTTTGACCTAAACCTACATTACCTATATAATTTTCAGCCCAAATTCTAGACACCTTTGGAAATTGAACTTTGATTGATCTAGTTTTCAAGAGGTACAACAGATCTTTACTGTGATTGAAATTTTCTTAATATTTTCAAGTGAATTAAACGTTGTAAAAGAGTTCCTTTAGTTGCCTTAAAAACTTTACATAAATTTGCTTATTTTTGGTTAATTCCAAATATTTTATGTTACACAGGCACCACTTTATAGAATATCTAGAAGCATAGTTATACATATATCATTATGCATTTCACCTTTAAAAAAATATAATATCCTTTTTCCATTATATTTTCCTTTACTCAGGACTTAGTTTTAAATATTTATTGGTGAAAAAGAAAAAGAAAATAAGAACTGAAGGAAAAATGGAAATGAATTTTTATTTACTATTAAGTTTAAATAATGGATGAGGGAATAAAGTGTGACACAGGATATCCTTTTAAAAGGAACATCATTTAAACAAAACAATAATAAAAAAAAAAACATAGAAAAAGAAAAGTGTCCATTTGTTTTCTTTCTCTTCATTTTTCTCTTTCTAACTTCAAAGTTTAATATTTAACTTTTATACATTAATTTATGTTTAAGAATTAAATATAGACAAGAAAATGGAAAGTGGTTTGGAGGAGAGGGCAAGAAGAATGAAATGCAACACATGGGCATGCATTAATAATAAAATAAAATTTTTAGACAAAAAAATTTCTTTTTTTTTTTTTTTTTTTTTTTTTTAAATATTTAGTTTTCTATTTAACATTTTGGTTTCCGGAATTTAATAAAGCTTCACCCCTTTATAAAATGATTCTTGCAAAACTTTAAAGAAAACTGTAAGATATTTTAAGAACAAGATTCTAATTGTGTGTCTCAATTAAAGTTTTATATTCGTTATATCGATAGGCACATATTTTTCGAGAGAAGAAATACAGACTATTAAAATTTTTAATCAAATTAAGTATTCTTAATGTATAACAGAATTCAGTTAGTAGCTTGGACAAATTTCATTTTAATGCATACACATAGAATTAAATGATAGCAGCCACAATAAAGACGGCAAAGGCAGTGGATGACTTCGGTTTTTTTGACTAATTGTTAATTTTTACTATTGATCATTGGTTTTAATATTGATCATAAATGACATATTTTACATTATTGACAAGCTGTCTCAGCTGGGATTATTGTATATTAGGAATTCAAACTTTAAAATTCTAAGTCCTGATTTATTTGACTATTAGTTGCTTTGTTTCATCATTTGTCCATTTTTTTCCGTAAATAAAGTGAATGGAATTCGTTTCATTTTTGATCCTTAAAAAAATAAATATTCAAAAATTAACAAATTGTTGAGTAATAATGTATACTTACAAAAATATCGCAATTTTTCCTGAAAAGACAATAACCTCAATACTTATATTTCCTTTTTGTCAATTTCTAGTTAAAACAAATGATATTTTATAAATCAGCAGAGTAAAATTTCTGTTTGCAGAGAATACTGTATATAACTTTCGCAGAATTATAAACTTGAATAAAATGCTATAAGAAGAAAAACATTAAAAACTCCTTGCAATTACAGATCTAATTTGGTACCACCAACTTGAGCTCAACCCAACCCATATTTCACTCCATTTGAATTGTTTGGCAGTGTAGAATTCTGAAAATAAAATTTAAATCTTTAAGCAATTAATTTTTATGTTGTAATATGCAATTTAATTGAAATGCAAAAATTTTATTTAATTTTCTTTTTGCATTTTTGATGATAAATAATCAATGTAAATATAAGGATATAGATATGATGTCAATATTTAAATAGAGTCTTTATACTACATATGTATGTATTCATATTGCAATTATATCAATTTAATTAAGAAAATTGTTTACATAAACTAAATAAAATTTTATATATTTGACTTTATAATTAAAATACAAAAAATACAACTAAAAAATTTTCTCTTTATTGCTTTACTACCCTCTTTAATTCAAATTTCATACCAAATTAAGTTACAATAAAGTAACAAGTTTAAATTGTAAAATCATTTTTTCAACTAAATCATCTTTTATTGATGGTAATATTTATATTTATATACAATAATGTACATTTACATAAATATAGTGAGTATATGGTATGCAATTTGTGCAATACTGAAGACAAATACTTACAAAATGCCTGCATTATTTATAGCAATATAAGGAGTATGTACTTTTAGTTATAAAATTTAGAAAATTTTCATTATACGTTCTCATATATTGAAAATAAGCAGAATATATAAGATCTATATGCTTATATACACAATATATGTTCTCTTTTTACTTGGAATTGTTAGTTATCCTTCCAATGAAACAAGAGAATTGAAATTTATTGCATTTCTCAATATTATACATTTTAACTTTTACTTTTAACTTTTATATAGAAACTTTACATAATATCTAAGGGAAATCTAAGGGAATACAATAAATTTCTGTAGCAAACAAATACAAAAAAAAACAAATTTTTAGAAATCTCTATTTTTAAATTTATATCATGAATATTTTTTACATACAATCCTATTTATACTTGAGTCAATGTCGGGGCTGGATCTACCATATATACAAAGTACTCATTTGCAATAAGGGCCGGAAAACGGCGCATCCAATTTTTTCCATTACGTTTCCAAACATTTTTTTCTTTCTATTTATAGCGTACTTGGTGGCGGAGCACAATCTTTCTATTTATAGTATAGGGAGGGGGAGCACACTTTCTGGAAACCGCCCAAGGCGCCATACAAGCCAGATCCGGGTCTGGCAAATTTAAATATTATTCCATATATGATGAAGAATTTAAATATAGTGATGTGAATATGTTCAACATTAAAAGATATTTTTGGAAAAAAAATTTGGAAAATTTTGTTTGTCTTCCCCTAAAATAAACTCTAAACAACAAAATTTATCATAGTAAATTTAATTTTTGTTCTTGTTCAAACAATTTGAAACAAAAAAAAATCATCTAATTCGTTCCCCAACTTAAATCTCTGACTTAGACACTTCAATAAACGAATTTTAAATTTTTCTTTTTTTTTGTAAAAAACCAATACATTTTTTCAATATCAATGGTTCGAATTGAAATTTTTTGGTATAAAAACCTACAATTTTTAGATTGAATCTTGAAAATTCAGTTTTAAAAAATCATTTTTGTTTTGCGCTATAAAACTCTTCAAATTTCAATTTTTGTTTGTGCAATAATCAAAGCATGTAAAAACAAGTTAAGGTATTTTTCTAATATTTTTTTGACTTGGGCAGTAGCTGCTCTTGCGCCGCGACTTCCTCGTTTACTTGGAGCAAAATGCGAACTTCACTTGCGAATCACGAACAGGTCGTCATGCAAATGCATCTTCCACCATGCTCGGGAAAGTTAACCGCAGAGTTGTTGGAAATGGAAACTTTGAAAAAAGATAAAACAAGGAAGACAGCAAGTTAACCGTTTTAATATCATACCACACACAAGTTATCGTTTAAGAGACTTAATGTTTGAAAATTTTTTACTTCTGCTAATTCAAGTTTGTGATCCCGATATTCTAAACATAACCCAAGGCAATACTGGAAATAAGTATAGAACGGATCTATCCTTCTTGTGAATTTTTCCATCGTTTATCTTAACCACAATTGAAATAAAATATTGACTTGGGACTTGTAGGACTTCATTCAGATGCTTTTACTATTCGTATACAAACACATAATACATACATACATATAATTATGTAAAAATTTATAATTCCATTTCCTTCTTTTTTAAACACTTTTTTATTGCTTTTGTATCATTTTCATTTCAAAAATTGATACAATATATCACCTTTCTTGCAATTGCAATATAAATAACAATAAATGTAGTAGTGTTACAATTCCTATGCCGTATAATTCCATCAATATCTTCAACTTTTGAAATTTTATAGTGTCCTATGTACATAGATATATGTACACATATTCGAGCTTTTCATAAGAAACTACTAACAAAACAAAATAGTTCATATTATTTGAAAAAATAACTACAATACTCCTATGCTCGTAGTTTAATATCTGCATACATGAGTAATAGAGCATGGTATCTATGAAATACTTGTATAAATTTTAGGTATGCTGGTATACTGCACAACAATTTCGGAATTAAATGTTGAAAATATTTTTTTTTTTTCAAATTATAAATGATTCTAATACATTATACACTGCAGTACTTTCTATATATGCGATATGATATGTGAACTGGGAATCCTCTTATAAGAGAGTACAAGAACTTAATTTTAGAATGTACACTTCAAAAAAATAAAAATAGTATTACATTTTTTTCCGTTTACGTAGTATGTACTCGATATTTATTATACCTATGTATATAACAGTAATATGACGTTCACTATCTTTGGTATATGTACCTATGTGCCATAATATTTAAGTACCTACAATTCCTATTCAATATCCTAACACTATAACCAAGTCTATATTATTACTGATATAATATTCAAGTACAGCTACATATAAATATTTCTAAAAATTTCAGCTTCAGATAATGTTTCACATTATTATTACAAAATATGTATACAAATAGAACCTTTAACTCTTGAAAATGTTAGAAAATGTTAGGTAACAACACTTGATAAATTAGAGAGAAAAAGAAAAACATGGAGAAATGTTTCAATTTTTGTTTTTTCGTAACAAAATTCTACAACTTTTGGATATGAAATTGAATTTATATTTATATTTTTTTTCTCTTGTATCTTTGGGTAACAACAACATTTATAACAAAAAACTAGGTGAACCAGATCCTTTGATAAATTGTACATTACTGAATTTAACATCGACAAGTTTTCAAATTGAATGCATTGAAGGTTTCGATGGTGGTCTTGAACAAGATTTTATTATGGAGGTTTATGTTAATGGTACAACACGTAATCCAAAATTCTTTCGTTCAAAGTAAGTATATTATATTTGTTTTTTAACAAATAATATTGTAATAAATATATAGTGGACACCCTTAAATGTAGATTGTTATACTATGTTATAAAGCGTAGAGTATTATTATATTGTGGTTTAAGTTAAATTACATGCTTTTAAAAAAATTTGAGAACTGGTCGTAAGCTTGAATTGTAAAACTTATATTATAAATAAAAATTATGTCTAATGGCAAATAATTTAATCAGTGTAGTAAGGTAAATTGATAATAACTTTCAATTTTAATATGTTGTAAAAAAATTTCCTACTGCGAATCAATGGACCTGAGCTTGGATCTAAGAAAAATTTTAGAAACTCAACTCTTTTGATCAATTAAGTTTTCAAGTGATTTATAAACTTATGTTTATATATTAATCCATGTATTAATATTGCGAAAATACGCTCTTTTTTCATTGACCATTTTCTATGACAGTAAAAAAATTATGTTTGAATTCCCTAATTCCAATTCTATCAACTCTAGCAATTGCTTACATCTGCAGGTGCTAATTTTACCATATAAATTTACTTTAAATCAACTGAAAATTTTTGTAAAAAATAGTGTATTCAAGTGAAATCTTGAGCGAAAAATTCAACTTAATATAAAAAATTGGAAAAAGGGGAGACAAAAAAAATAAACGCGAAGCTATGCATCTTGTATTTAGTTTCTTTTCGCAAAAAAAAATACCTGAATAAAAAGAAAAATATTTGAATTCAAAGAAATTTCCAAAGAATAATTTACAATACCACACCAACTTTTAGATAAAAAAAAGTTCTTTCAAAGATTTTATTTCAGAACTTTTTTTTATTCCCTTATTCAGTTTTGGTTTTCTTTTCCATTTATTTTAAAATTTATTATATAATTTATTTTCCAAAAAAAAAAGGTGTAAAACCTGATTAAGAACTAAGTCTGGAGAATTAAAAATTAAACAATTTAAAAAATATATAGAGAAAATTTATACGTAGGTGCATAAATAGAACGCGATTCTTTAAAAGGATTCAAAAATTAAATCTCTTTGGATTTTCAAAAAAAAAAAAAACTAAAATGAAAATGAAATTTAACACTCAAAATAATAAAGAGAGACGTTCTCGGATTAAAATGAATTTTAAAATACTTTTTCATTTATTTTTGTAGAAATTAATTAAATGGAATAAATTTTAATAAAAGATTTAAGACAATCTTAAAAAAAAAATAATATAAAATTATTATAAAGAAAATAATTAAATTAATTAAAATAAAAAAATATTGAAAATTTAATAAATTAAACGTGTGCGGTTTATCAAAAATAGCTTAGCGAAAAGAAAAGATCAACATTACATTTAAATGAGTCATGAATTTTTTAATTATGTTTCTATAGAAACCTAAACAAGAGAATTAATAATTTGTTAAGCATATTGCAAAGTAGGAATAAACATTATAAAAAATAACCCACACCTGCCATAAAACAGATATTTTCTTCTTCATAGTGTCTAGGTTTTCACGAAATGCGGTAACATAAAAGGCATTACTAAAGCGAAGAAGGTAAACGGAAATAAGATTGAAGCTTCGAGAAACCATCGGAGTTTCGGTGAAAATTTAAAATAATCTTAAATAAGTGTAGAAAATGTTCACGATTGATTTAACTGTACTTTAAAGGAACTTCTATGAAATTTACCATTCGAAGTCTTGTAGGTTCTATTAATTCGAAATCTTGTAGGTCTTACTAAATTTACTACAAAAGTAGTGTAGTAGGTGGTTCCACTATTGTCACATTACGTCTTACAATGTCACCTTGAAAATGTCGATATGGTTCATCACTTTGCTTTGGCTTCATTGTTGTGACATAATTAACGTACTGATTTTTTAAAAGGAAGAGATACAATAGATATTTAGTTGGCAAAGTATCATTATTCCAATCAACAACAATCTTCTACATCCACCAAACCAGTGATCATTTCTTATATTGTATAACTTTTTTGACATTGTATAAAATCGAGCATCTACAATTAAAAAAAATGTATTAGAATAAAAATTTTAATTTTAATCTACTATTTTTAATTATTTGTAATTTTTAATTTATTTTAATATTAAAATGCAATAACTTAAATTATTGTCCCAGATTTTTGTATAAATGCATTACCTATTCGTTATACACATTCATTTAATTTAATTTTTGTAACAATTTTCTTTTTTTCTTCTTTTTCATCCTTTTCCTAAAATATCATATAGAAATCCTTTTTTTGAAGTACGTGGTTTAGTTCCAGGTGTTGGATATAATGTTTTCTTAATTGCACATAATAGTAAAGGGAGAAGTAATGCAACCATTATGCAAGTTTATACATTAAAAGATCCTGAAAAGCAAACAGGTAAGAATAATTTAATAAAAAAAAAAATTTGAATATATTATAAAAATGTTTACATTTAGAATAAATTAAAAATTATTATTTTTAAATACAATGACATTTATTATTATAATACAGTAGTATTAGTAGAAAATTAAATATTATTACATACATATACACAAGATGTTATATAAAAGATTGAATGAATGTTAAAAATGAAAAGTGATTTGAAAATCAAAATTTTAATGTTCATCATTCTTTTTTCATTTTTTGTTTTTGTGTGTTTTTAAGGTGATTCCAAAACAAATTAACCGAATTTCAAAAATATTGTACAAATTCAAAAAAAAAAAATTGATTCCTTTGACTCAATGAAATCACAACCTAAACAAATATCGTTTTTGTGAAATATATCAAATTTGACATAATATATCAACTTAGAGCTGTCAGATTTGACAATACAATATGTTTTATGTTTTTTTTTTAACTAAATTACAAATCTTAAACTTGATAACCAATAGTATGTGTACATAATATATGTGTGAAATTTTTGGTCTGACTATTAATTCGTTTATATGGCAGCTGACTTGACATCAGGTGAGCCCGAAGGTCTGAAAATGACGTTTGGCTGTTACATTTCCAGTCATCATTAACATTTCAAGCGAAATAAGCAAAATTTTTTGATTCTCTTGAGTGAAGCCGGCTTCAAATCAAGTAACGCTTAAAGCTGGTATATTTCATCTTAAGTCTACATTTGACACCCAAATCGAAATTATTCGTTCAATAGCTGGAAAAAATTTGGTTAATTAAAATTGGAATTATCCAAATTGAAAGTTTATATTTTTTTTTAAATTTTCGCTTTATTATTCATTTCAGCAGCTTTCAGTTTACCGTTATAATTATATTATTATACAATTATTATGATTATTTTTTTGTTTTCTTTTTATTTGCAGGATTATTAATAATAAAAAGTTTTGTTTTCTTTTTTTTATGGGTTTTCTTTTCGTTTTACGCTTTTTTTCCTCGTTTGTCTGCTCTCTTTTTATTTGTTTACATCTTTTCGTTTATCAGAAGGAGAGAGAATATAATTTTTCTCTAAATAAAATGCAGAATATTAAATATATCTACCTAGAAAAGTCTTTTGTTATAGTTTTTATATTTGTATTAAAAAAAAAAGAAAAAGCCTAGAATTTTATTTTTAATCCTATTTTAATTCTTTGATTATTTTGTTGTTTTTTTTTTTTATTATTTAATTTTATAATATAATATTCTTTTGATTGAGGATTTCTTTATGTCCTTCTTGTTATTGTATAACGTTTATGTAATTCGTATTTAATACTTAGTACTTATTTTATGATGTTTTTTAATAATGATGATTTTATAAAGCATAAACTTAAAATTTTGTATTATTGTACGTCAAAGATATTTAAATCTAACTTGGAATATAATGTAATATAAAAGATTTATGAATTTATTGAAGTAATAAAATAATTATGGAAATATTTAAAAAATTTTTTTTTAAATAACAATAGAAAAATAATAAATAAATAAATTTTCAATTCTTTAAATTGAAATTTATTTATTCTTAATTTTAATGTACATAAATATTTTACAATACATGATGAATTTAAATGAATTTTCAATTTTTTTCATTATTTAATTTATTTTTATGATTTTTGCGATAATTATAGTTTTTTTTTTGGAAAAAAAAAAGTACATAAGTTTATAAAGTATGTATAAGCTTTCAGAATAATATTCATTAAATAATTAAAAAATTTCATTTCGAATAATTTAATTTTTAATTTCATTTCATTTTTTTTATTTAAATTTAAAACAAGTAGAAAATTGGCTTAAAATATATTGAAATTAAGTAATGTGTTTGCATTTAAAACTGATAGCTTTGAATTTTACAAAGAGTATTATTAATTGTTTATTTTAGAACTGATTTAATTCAGATCAAGATTCTGATTTGAAAGGGTTCAACTTCACAGTAAAACTTATCAATCAAAATGGTTTATTATAATGATTCATTTCTGATAAAGTCTTCGCCAGTCTGCGCAAGTCTCCCTTCGCATTTAAATATTAATTCAGGCAAAGTCAATATATGAAATCCGAAAAGCCGACCCCTGGTGCTACGTACTGCCACTGTCACAATCGACATCGCCAATCGCAGTTTAGGCATAAAGTATTTTAATTAGAATGGAAAGTAAGAAAACCAAACCAAGTGTTATCAGATCTCACTTTTTCTCCTAGACCAGGAATAAAAAAAATTAGGCTACTATGTGTCCACTATCACATCATTCTTGCGGCATCATAAACCTATTCAACCAATTGACTCTTCACGTAAAATTTTAATTGACCGCAAAAAGAGGTTCCTTCCCAGAATATCTTTTTCACACAGTTTTCAAATTTAGTGAATTCCAATACTTTTTGAAGCTAGCTCATGAATTCCAGTTGTTTAATAATTGACCTGATCGTCAGATTAGTGTTGTTCCGGGAAAAACACCAAGATCGCAAATTCGATCGGAATTTTTCGATCAGATTTGGATTTTACTAAGTTCAGAGACGATAGAATTATCCCCATTCTCCAATTCTAGCCTGTTTTTCCTTATAATATTTATAGCCAATATTTTACATTTGTATAAAAGCATTCCTATTTCATTTCAAATACTCATCACTATATTAATTTCTTTTGTATATAAGCGCCATACTTTTCTCAATACATATATGTATAATACTGTTATAAATATTTACAAAAACAAATAAAATCATTTTCATAACAGTAAAAAATAATTAAAAATCATGTAAGTTTTCATCAATTCATAAAAAATTTTAAAAATTGTAAAATGTTTTCATTTCTTTTCTTTGATTTTAATTAATGTTAATTGAAAATAATAATTTTATTAATTATATTTTTATATTTTTTTTCTGCGTTTTTTTTTCTTTTGACAAAAAAAAAATTATCAAAAATAAATTTAATATGAAAAGCTCCAGTTCTTCATTTCTTTTCAACAGACTTATCTTTAGCATATGCTCCGGTTATTGAAGATATTCGACCATTTCTTGGTATATTAATTGGTGCCGTTGGTAGTATATTTTTGGTTGCATTAATAATTGTAATTGTTGTACGTATGAGAGGTTCATCGGGACGTGATCGTAATAATTATTCACATCAAGTTAGTCGTGATACATTACATAATGGCCAATCAGTACAAGATATTAGAATTGGTAGGGATACATTACAAACAAGTAGTGCTGATAGTATTGATAAAAATCCTGATATTATACCACAAGGTAATTAAATCTATATTATTTTAATAAACGAAAAATTTGTTTGCACATTTATACATATTTAAATCAAGACGTGATATCTCTTTAACTTTAATATAGTAAACTAATTATAATGTTAAAGAGTATGAATGTCATATTAAAATCAATTTTACTGTGATTTGAGCTCTCCTACGGAATCGAACCAAATACTATTCGTTATAAAGTAAGAAAGGAATCGGAGAGGAGACTTTTCTAGCGCTAGAAGAAGATTATAGGGTTGGTTAAGAATCAGATGACAATTCTTACCCGATTCTTGTCGGGGCGCTGCAGAGTTAGGAAGCATCTAAGTAGACTGAGCCTGGAAACTGAGGGCACTGACAAATCTTGAAAGCTGTATGCAACACTGGAAAGTTTTGCTCTCATAGCTTGTGAATTGGGGTCTTCCAGGTCTCACAAGATGCTCAAGTTTATCAGGAGGGTGAGTCTCGAGCGGGTATTTTAGGGCATGACCCGAGCTCAGATGGGGGCATTATAGATTCTTATATGCAAAAGCGGTGCACTGTTATTCCGATTGCACAAATCTACAATCAAATGCTGAATTTTGTTGCTCAAATGTTGTGCTTTCAATGAAATTGAAATTATACAATTTTTTTTTAAATTCTTAAAACAAATAAAAAATTCTAATTACAAAAACGTTATATTTATATGATATGTATATAGATGATCGTGATGAAGATGATGAATGGACAACAAAAGGTAATAATCGTGCCTATGCAACAGCAGCATTAGCTGAACAAAATGCTATAGTAACATCAACTTATGATCGTATAACATATGGTTTAATTGATAAAAAAGCTGTCCAAAATCATTTACAACAACAACAACAGCAACAACAATTACAAAATCATCATCATCAACAGCAACAGCAACAGGCACATCATCATCATCAAATACCTCCACCACAATATATAACAACATATAATACATTAATTCCAGTGAGTAAAATTGGATATTCAACGCAACCAAACAAGGTAAAAATAAAATACAATAAGCAAAATTTCTTTCTTATTAAAAAAAATAAAATATGGTAGTTAAAAAGGATAACAGATTAGATAAATTACTATAGCTACATAATATTTACATTAAATACTAATACCGCATTTGACAAAAAAAAAATGTTCTAAAACCTTCAGTAATTCTTTGATCATAAAATATAAGTTAAGTCTGGACATATTTCCATTACAATTTATAGACTATCATAATATTACTTAAAATACTTACTGATTGCTCATGTTTGCTTTACTAACGAAAATTCAAACATTTTTTAGTTTCTTATACATTTTTCATTAAATGAAACGTTCCCTTGCGCTTGAATTTTTTAAGCTGATTAATTAGAAAATGATCGCTTGCTCTGCTACACGGGTCCAGTCTAGTCAGCTTAATTATCCAATTTTATTAGTTTTTATTTTTGAAACTTCACACCAGCTTAACATAGGTGGTTTCGCCATTTTATAATAAAGTAGATATATCATTAGAAAAACTTTTCCAAATAATTAATATTTAACAAAAATATTATTCTCGTTTGGTGTTGCGTCAGCAATGAATTTCACGTTTTGTAATCAACTGATTCTATTTGTGGTCTTAATTTAAATGAATTTTAAATTTAAAGAAATTTCTGAAAAGTAAATTGTAGCAATTAATTTATAAAGGTGAATAAAAATGACGTGCGAGTTCTGAAATTTTGTTTATATTTCATAAAATTCAAAAGTCACACGATTAAAAAGAAATCGTTCGGTACTACCTCATACAAAAAAAAAATTCGAAATTAAGTTCACAGAACGCTCCTTATTTTATTCTTTACCGCCTTCGATGTTTCTTTAAACTCTGAATTGAATTTTCCCGCACCTTCCAATATAATGCAATAAATTCATTCCTTTCCACATATAAAACAATATCCTCTTCTAAATTTTGCATTATTTTCCTTCTTCTATTTTTTTCGCCACTTTTTCCATTACTTATATGCATTATAATTTATAATGATAGATAATACGAGTATATCCTTTTCTTTCGTATCCTACGCTTTTATATGACTCATAATCGTTTTTAATAGTACATAAACTTTTAGACTTTGATGTCACCTCATAAGTGTTTACTTTAAAAATTTTAATACCTAAATACAAAAGAGAAAAAGCCAAATATGAGAATAAAAAATTAAACAGAAAAAAATATTCTATTGAAATTAATGTGTACAACAAGAATATGTAAATAGAATATTTTTTTGTAGGTATTTTTGCTTTAAAAAAATATTCATTCACTTTAACAATATTATAAAATGTCCACATATAAATAAATTATATAATGAACATGAGTGTATACTCGTATAAAAAAAAAAACAAAAAAAAATAGTGAAAAACATAACCATTCACCTGATGCAAATGTAAAGTAGAGATTTTATAATCTATTTTGACGTTATATTCTATCCTTTTCATTTGTTCAAACAATCTATATGAGTAGGAGTAGGTACATGCTAACATTATTATAATCTCCTCTTCGCTCTCTATCATATTACTCTATTTCTCTTTACTTCTCTTACCATACCATATCAACAATAATATAATAGTAATAATAATCAGGCATTAGCATAACAACACATCCCCATTCAGTATAGAATTTAGATGTCATCCTGATTTAATGTTTTTACAGGACAAGAAAATAATAATAAAAAAAAGGAGACAAGAAAACAATAAAAATTATAATAGTAAAACGCATTTAAAAAGATGGGGAAGCGGCAATAGTTTGTAGCAAAGTAGAGAATTATTGAGAGACAAAAACAAAACTCACAAAAATTAAATCCAGGTAGGAGAAATTAGGTGGAGGGCTGGAGTTTGCATTATATAAAATTGATTTTTGTTATGTTTTTACTTTGTATGTTCTAAATTTATTGTTATTTGAAAAAATTTGTAAAGCTTGAACGTTGTGTTTAAAATCTGCTCTGTTTTGTTTTTTTTCTCTATCATACATTGTATAGTTCCCATGTTGTATAAACAAGAACAGTTAGTAATGATATTAAATTTCATATACCCATTCTTCTTCATATTTTATTCTCTCTCTTTTTTATGAATGCTCGTTAAAATAACCCTTTTTTTGCTTGCACATATTATGAATGGAAGAATAAAAGAAGAACAAAAAATAAATGAAATAGAAAAACATGGGTAGAAAAAAAATTATGCGCTCTACAGTTTCCTAAGGCTATTGAAAATTGTGCAAGTAATAAACATTAAACATCCATATATAAGAATATATATGCCATTATTTATAGAATAAATTAGGGTTAATTTAATACACGGATTTGATCGGTCGTCATGTTAAATTATACGAACGCAAAAGCCTGAATAGAAAATTATTTAAAAAGAAAACAAAAGGAATAAAGTAAAAATTAAAATTTTAAGCTTTAACGTTTTGTAAAAAAAATCACTGATTGTTTGACTATGTACATGTGTACAAAATGCGTATAATGCCTTAATTCATTGTAGTGAACGTTTACAAGGCGTCGTTTAACAGTTCATTACAATTTAAATCGATTCTGTTGGTACTAAAATTAACTAGCAGAATGAGGCTACAACCTCTACGAAGAAGTGCCTTTTTTGTATGTGAAAAGCGCAAAATAACTTGATCTGTGTTATTCGAAGCATTACGTTTATGCTTATCCTCCAAAAACGTGTTTTCTGTAACCCCAAACAAAAAGATAAGCAAGAAGGGAAGGCAATCATACGCAGATAATCATCACGATAAGGTAGATAATCGCAGAGAGGACCTTAATTAATCTTGATTACTAGATATTATTTTAATTATCAAATCTAATCTTTATTGAGATAATCTTTAATTAAATCTTTAAATAATTCTTGAACTTTTATAACATTAAATATATGCAATATATTATTTTTCCCTATTAGGAATCAACAATAAGAACGCGACAATTTATGCTTTAAAAAATAAAAATATCCCTTAAAGTTAAGTAATTTTTCATTTTACTTAAATTAAAACAATATAGTCTACCTACACACATAGAAATGCATTATGTAATATATATGAAATTTATATTTTTAGTACATAAATTGTAGCCCTGTGCTCAGTTATTTATAATTTAATATTTATTGCATCTCATACTCTTATTTCTTTTTTACAATGTACATATTAAAAAGACTTCCTTGATATAATGAAATAAAATTATTACCTACACACCTATATCTATGTAAAATATATATTTATTTGGTTTATTATAATGTGTAGTAAATATATTGAAAGTATTGATATACACAATATAAGTTTATGTACACGCAAGATAACATATCGGCTCCTGTGCTTAGCACACAGTCATATATCGAAAATAGCAATCTTATTCATATAGTTATAATTTTTTTACGAAATGGTAACGTATTCAATTATATATTTTTCGTTAAGTAATAGTATAAAAAAATTTTGACAGAGTTTATACAGTTTGGGTTTGAAGTAGTATAGCAAATGTCATTGGGCCTGCTTGGAATTCTCATACTCTATGAATAATAAAGATAGGCCCTTTGTAATTGCTATAATATCTTCAAATTATGATTTTATACGTCCATATATTTTTCGTTAAGTAATAGTATAAAAAAATTTTGACAGAGTTTATACAGTTTGGGTTTGAAATAGTATAGCAAATGTCATTGGGCCTGCTTGGAATTCTCATACTCTATGAATAATAAAGATAGGCCCTTTGTAATTGCTATAATATCTTCAAATTATGATTTTATACGTCCATATATTTTTCGTTAAGTAATAGTATAAAAAAATTTTGACAGAGTTTATACAGTTTGGGTTTGAAATAGTATAGCAAATGTCATTGGGCCTGCTTGGAATTCTCATACTCTATGAATAATAAAGATAGGCCCTTTGTAATTCCTATAATATCTTCAAATTGTGATTTTATACGTCGAGAAATCAAGTTGTACTTCAAAAAATTTATATTAACGAAAACATAAACCTAGATTCAGCAAAAAAGTGTAGATGAACCTTTTTGCTTCGTTATTCTTAATAAATAAAATATATTTAATGTCCCTACTTCAATAAATAGTATATTATGAAAATAATAAGAATAAAATATAAAAAACAAAAACTTTTTATATAAATTTCAGTAAAATTTTATGTAATAGGTCCTTGGTTTTATTGGAAAATTCAATTAATTGTGGAAAATCCTTTTTTTTATATTTTTTATTATATTATGAAATTTAATGTAATAAAAATATTTACTCTTATGCTCATATTATAAAATATTATTTTATATTTTCAACTATACATTTATTTACTACAAATATACATTTTTTGTATCATGAAAATATTATTATGTTATATGCAATTAAAAATTCAATTTTCGTGGTAAAAATAAACTTTTTGTTTTTTTTTTTTATTTTATGTCTTTATTAATTGTATGGGAAAATTGTATATGAATATTAAATTTTATTTGTTTAAAAACAGTATGCTTTAACATATACTTTTACAATGCAAAGTATGTATATAAAGTATATATATAAAATTTCATATACAATCACAAATGCACTCACTTATTAGAGTGAAAATATTCAAGTGTTACAAAAAATATTTCTTTTGTTAGTGTTACACACAAAATATTCGATGATACTATACATAACCAATAGCAAGTTGTATTTTCTAGTTTAGCGAAAATCTTGCATAAAAATATGAAAATGACTTTTCAACACTTCTATCAATTTTTAAGAACTCTAGAAGGCTTTTAATTAACATACCTAGAAACGTTAATTGGACTCTTAGCAGGGATTCATTTTAAGCCATCCGAATTCCCCGGAAAAGTTCATCAGTTACTTTCGATAGCAAACCGAACTTGAAGACTGATGGGTATAAACATCACTTCAAAAATAGATTATTTACTCTTGCCTACCATAATAAACCAAAAAAATCTATTTGTACCGAAAAATCGATCTCCGAAATTTTATGTCATCACATTACCTCCGCTATTGTA